TTATCTTCGGAGCAAAACAGTGGTATTAATCACACATCAAATCCAATTCATACAAAAAGCCACAAAAATTCTTGTGTTAAACAAAGACGGCGTAAGTCTTGGCTTTGGATCGTATGAAGAGTTACTCGAAGTGGACATCGATTTCATGTCTTTGGTTTGCGATAATCGCTATAATTATGACAATAAATACAACATTAATAATGAAGAATCCATTGACAACAAACTGATCCAAAGACAGATATTTTTTAAAACTGATGTATAAATGTATCGATTATTTTAATATTAATTAATTTATAAAATATTTTTAAATTAAAGACTAAACCGGAAGTAAAGGAGCAGTTTATACCCGAAGAACATATGGCCAAAGGGTCGGTAGATATGCGGGTGTATTGGCATTACATGAAGGCGGGTGCGGGACCGACATTATTGTTTGTCATAGTTTTGTCGGCTATAGTTTCGCAGACAATCACCAGTTATAGCGATGTATATGTTTCTCAATGGTATTGAATTTAAAATTAATTAAATCTCTAATATACTTAAAAGTAATTGTAATTATAATTTACAACACATATGAATAATAGGACTAAAAACGAGACCAATTCTAACGTTACTTTTGAAACAAATATTGAGAACCAAAGCACAGGAATATTAATTTATTCATCGATAATAACATTAATATTCGTGACATTTGTCATCAGATTTGTGACATTCTTCCGGATGTCAGTCAACGCGTCAACCAATTTACACAATACTATATTCAGTCGCCTAATGACAGCTCCCATTGCTTTCTTCGACATCAATCCTATCGGTATTTTTGTCACTAAATTTAAATAAATGTCAGAATAGATTATATTTAAAAATTATAATTAACTCAATACAAGTACTTAATTATACATTTTAGGCCGAATTTTAAATAGATTTACAAAAGATTTGACAACTGTTGACAATCTGTTGTCCGTTTGTTTATTTGACGTTCAGATCGTAAGCATTTCATATAAAGTAGTCTTGAATTAATAATTATCTATAATTAGGATTTGCTGTCAATAATCGCTTCACTAATAGTGATATCAATAGTAAACATGTATTCATTAATTCCTGCGATTCTCATGTTTTTCATCATTTCATACATTCGTTCGCTTTATATAAAGACTGCGAGAGATGTCAAGCGATTTGAAAATCAATG